AGCACGGCAGGAAGGCTAGGGCCATCCCCCAAGCAGCGGGGAACGGTTTACTACGTGGAACGAGCTCTGTTTGCGCACCCCAGCCACCATGGAACAAGGAGGACTTTAGCCTGACCACTTCCGAGGTGCGTGCGCAGTCATACTTACATGATAAGCATTTTTAATTTGTGTTTCTCTGGCGTAAGTTTTTATCTTTGTGATTGTTTGTAGAATTGGTTTTCCTGGAAAAAGAAAGAAAGAAATAAAAAACCCACACCAAAGTCAATCACAAGGGTAAGAAAAAAAGCCAATGTCTTCACACATACTAATGGTTAAACAGCATCTGGTTCTCCCTCCTCCTAAAGCCAGCGCCACTTCCAGGCTGCTTCTGTGTGGCCGCCTTTTGCCCACTGCAGTTCACCTGCACCAGGCATTCTGCTTCCTCCTTTTATTCCTTCCTTTTCACAACTGGAGCTGGTTTGTTTCCCCCCACTGTGCCAACTGCTTAAGGTATTTGTGCAAAACCGTATCAAATCTGCTGCGCCAGGCATCAGGGAGACCACAGGTGCCTTCAGCACAAACACTGGTCTCTCAGCCCTTCAGCAGCGCTCGTTTTTCTAGCAAGGACCTCGCAGGTGTCGCTTTTCTTTACTCAGTGCTAATGAACAAAAACCAAGGGTCCATTACCCTTAGTAATGTCACACCCAGTATCCCACAAACCCTCAGGTTACGCTCAGCAACATTTTTTTCTCTTAAAACGCACTTACATTGGCCCAGCTGGTTCATCATCTGCAGCGAGAATTCCAATGCGACCCGGGGAGAGGCAGGGAAAGGAAAGAAGAGAGAGTCAGTCTCCGCACGGCACACCGCCTGCGCTGCACACAGCAAACCGATCTATCTACAGCACTATCTACAGCCATTCCACTTGGGAGTGCAAAGGGTCATGGAGTTATTTGTCTGGGTTCGAGTTTTAATGGCAGGTATGTTGCTTCGATGGTTTTAGTTAACACTTTGGATGCTTGTCATGAAGAACTGCAACTGTAGCGGACAGATTGTTGCAATATGGTCAGACTCATCTTGTCCCCAAGTTCCAGTGGTTCAATCTCATAAAAAAATAGATGAGAAAACAAACCAACATTTCAGTTGTAAAATCCTGCTGGTTGTTTTCTTACATAGATGATTTTTTTTTTAATATAGTTAAAGGCGCAACACTCGATTCAAGCGCCCCAAGGCAGGCCGTGCGTAGCGGCAGGCGCCGGGCGCGTGGCCGGCACAGCACCGGGCTCACAGCGCCGGGGCAAGTCGGGGTGCTGCCACGCCTGCAGGCACAACAGACTTCAGCTACGGAAAACTGACAGCATTGTTCTGCCCGTGTCTCTTGGCAAAAACACTCTCCTTTTAAGAACTGGGGAAAAATCTGCCAATGGGTAGCGTTTTGCATTAGCTCTTTCATGACCAATTGAACATTTTTTGTTTTGCCCCCACGCTGCAGTACACAGAACAGAGATGCATTGAAACAGCAGCACAAAAATCAACCCGGCAAGTTACGTCAGTGCTCCTGCAGAAGTATTTTGGGGGGGACCAATTCCGGACCCGCTGGTTTTGGCACTCGACAGTTGCCATTCCCACCTTGTGCCAGAGGGATTTTTCACTGAAGTCTTTAAGAAACTCTCAGCAGGATTCCACAAGCGTGCTTAGTGCACATGAAGCAGTTATGGAAATTACAGTCTTAACAGTGTAGGCATCCGCATGAGCACACGCTGGGAGTAATGTCGGTCAGAGGGGACATTACTCCACCTGTACCTTCAAGGCAACGGATAGGCAAAGCCACCGCTAGCACAGACAGTGACCAGAACAAAAAAATATTTCAAAAAAATAAAGAACTAACCACAAACCAAGAGCTTTACGGCCAAAATAACAGACTAGCAACACACCAGTGTCCACATAAGTCCATTACCAGCAACAGTACACTACTGGACAAGGTACAGAGAGAACTGGGACTAGTAAGGACAACCAGACATCAATGTGCTGTTGTACAGAGACACATCAGGTACTGAAACACAGAGCACGGTGGAGTAACTCTAGAACTTCCTTCCACAAACATCTTTTGGATCCCAAAAGATCTCACAGCAGGCTGCGCTCCACGCTCCACACAGACAAGCCCCTCCACTCCCCCCGCCCCAGACCAGCGCTGCGCCCGTGCCACCCTGTGTCAGAGGCTCCGTTCTCTCCGCTTTCTAACGGGCATCATCCACATCTTTGAGAGTTTGTTTGGCTGGACTTCAGAAACATCAGACTGCACCGTTAAGATACAAGCTCTCTCTCGCTATAAAATAACCATTTTTCCTTCTCTGGTAAAATATTTAGATGCCTATTTCAGATACGTGGTTTTGAGTGTTTTTTTTTTTTTTTTTTTTTTTTTTTTAAAAAGTTTTCTTTAAAAAAGCTTCACATTTATAAAGGCTCCCATCAGGTCTTTTCCTAACAAAGATCCGACATTCCTATTGAGAATACTTATTGCATGGTGGCTCACCACCACTCGCCCCTTTCCCATCTATAACCTAAACAAAATAAGACTAAGAAAAGCTTCTCTGTGTGTTACTACCCTGGTCAGCCATTTAGCTGCTGGAAAAGCCTCCCCAGCACAGTACAGACAAAGACCGAAACCTCAGCGAAATCAGGGGGCAACAGAACAACAGAAAAAGAAGTACAAAATTAGACTAAATAAAGATTAAAAACAGCAAACTGAAATCCAAATTAGTTGTGAAGGTGAATGAAGAAGTTTTAAGAAAAAGTGTTAACATTATGACTTGTGCATTGTATAGACTGAAGCGGAGATTAAACAAACTCCAAAGCATGCAGATCTCTCACTTACCACCATTTTTTTAAGGGTATGATGCAATTGAAGAGGGGGGGGGGAAAAAAAGAAGTCATAGTAACCGACAAGTATTAATATAACCCCAAAGCTTTACGCCAGAAGACCTGCTCTACTAACCGATCGTCTCTACCAGCGTATAAAACCTATGGCCACAGAGAACATCCTCCCAGTGCGTTGCTCCATTCCATTCCGCACCCGCGGGCTCCCGAGGCGCTGCCAGGCCAGCTGCAATTTTATCATTGACCACCCTAAAGCCCTCCTTTTGCAGGAGCTGCCTTTGGAATTTGGAGGGGACCTGCAAACTCCAAAACCCCTACCGTTTACAGAAGGTTAACACCCCTCCCACCCCCCTCCCCACCTTTCCTGCAGGTCCAGCCATCATCTGCTCAGCGTGGCCCTGCAACAGCACACTTCTGATCTGGAAGTCTCCCAGGCATCGTGTAGCACGTGTGATCAATCCTTCCAGGCAAAAACATCCAGCCATTAAAATAGCAAGATGGTGACAAATAGATTTGCTTCAGCTCCTCCCCTGGCATGAACTGTCAGGGAATGTAACTCCTGCTTCAGCAGTCTGAGAAGGGGACTGTGCCTTGTGGCCCCCCTTTACTTTCAGCCTTAAATTACAAGGCATTTCAGATGTTATTCAGTTTCTTTTACCTCCTTTGGAAAGCTACAGTATTTATTTTTCATATCAAATTAATCTTATGCAGCCTCTTATGACTGGTGGAGGTTAAAAATGAAACACTAACAGGTACTTCCAGCATGAAGATTCTAATTTTTGC